GGTGGAAGTAGGAATTGAAGGGGCATCGGGAATTTGTCCGTTTGCAATCGATAAAATGTTGCGTGCCTTAGGGCTTCCATCATAGTTAGTGGGACTCGGCGTTAGAATAGTCGCAAAGTAATGGTTGTGAACGTGAACATGTTGGCCATGGCGCGAGGCAGCTCTGGCCTATTGTCACAATGAGGGCTCATAGGGGAGAATTTTCGTGTCCGTATAAGTACATGATGCAATGCGAGACGCCACTGCGGCTCCGCGCTCCTCATGTTGTGACTCAATTTCGTTGAAGTGCCCAAAAACCACGCATTTTATTCGTCGATTGCGAAACCAGCCCTTTCATGTTTGTGGTAGTGTAGTAATCCGCTTAACAGTTCGTGTTGTCGTTCACTCACGTTTGCTAAAACGTTGCGGAAACTGGTACTTTCACCTTTTAGGAATGGGTGTAGTGATAATAAGTTTGAAGGATGACAAGGACATCACGACGGGGAATTGCAACGCAGCTGAATATGAGTTCTGTTTACGCACTGGCTAGCGAAACACCGATAAGGAAGTGGGTGGTCGATCATCAGCGGAAGCTACTTCAGGGTCGTAACTGGCAAGGTTTTGCGTATTCAGGGTGCCATGCGATTGACGCTATTGAAGAATTGAGGTGGGGGCACGGCATTTAGTCAGGGAAAATGCTCTGTGGTACACACACTTAGGGTCGAGTTGTGAGTAGAGACCATGGAACATGATAGAAGTCGTAGCTGACATCGGCTTCAAATGGAGAGCTTGATGAAGCCTACTTATTACTCCTTACTCCGAATGACGTGGTAATTATAATCCGCTCTGCGGTGAGGTTATCATAGCCAATAAGGCGGCAGTGATATCGGAGATTACGAGAGCAAAATGTCACTTTCAATTGAATTCAAGAACACCAATGGCCGTAGCGAAAATTCTTCGCATGCACTAATTCGGTATCTTCCTTTCGTAGCTACATTTGGAAATGGAGAGTGGGAAACAAGCCGGCGCAATACTGATCTTTTGGGGCGCCGCTCTATATTTGTGCCACAATCAGTTTTGTCATTTCAGGTGTACTTATTCAAATATGACTCCACTCATGGTCGTTTCAAAGGAAGTGTTAGTCACGAAGGTGGCCATCTCGTTGTGAGCCAGGAAGGCACGAGCACTCACAAAATCAAGTCGCAGCAACAGGTAACGATATTTTATTTGGTCGACACCTGGTTCAGAGTTTCTTTGGTTTTCCTGTAAGGATAAGGTTTTAATTCGGCGGCAAGCAAAGAACTTGATTGCTGTGGCTATGCGGTTTTCCATGAAATGGGAGCTTGAATTGATGGTGATATCATGCGCCAATGATGTTTGATCCGAAAATGTTTGGTTGGTAGAAGGTCATTCAAGGTCATCCTTTCGGATCCCGTCTAAAGGGAAAAATATTGTGATGGTTGGTTGTAGTCGATCACGCAACAACAAAGATGTTTGCGAAGCTGCGAGAGGGTTAACCTTTGGGAAGCGCAATTTGCGGCGAATGTTCTCGTCCCTTCAGCGGCGAGTCTATGCTCGGATGTACTTTGCTCAAACAACGTGCGATTTGCAGCATAGCGGCAGTCGAGTGACGATGGCGAGGTTATTCGTGCGCCACATGGCGTTGTCGTTGTTTTCAAACGACGTAAGCTGTTGAGTAAGAGGGGTCTTGGATTTGGCTGTTGGCTTGGGCTGGCTAGTAGTAAGAGTTGGGTATGAGTACATCGAATGCTACGGGAAGGGGCAGAATGATACAGTTCACAGATTTGGGTTGCTAAGTAGGCCGACTAAAATTGAATAGGGCATCCCAGATCCAAGTAGCAGGCTTCGCGCGCTGTTTTGGCTGTGATTACTCACTGTTTGGCATTTGTTTTTGGTGGACGGGCTAAAGGGCGTGACGCCCCTTTGCTGCTCACCATTGTGTTGAAAAGTAACAGTTACTGGTTGAACCGATGTTCCAGGGGCGGTATTCAATCCTTCCCCCAGGGGTTGGGGGACGGAAATCCCTTTAAATTTATTTGTTTTTAACGATGTAGTTTCTCATTTTCAATGCATGCTTACTGTGACATAAATACATACATTAAACCTAGCCCCTTTATCAGGACAATCCCAGTTGGGAAGACGGAGAAAATTTAAAGGGTTTTTCGTCCCCCAACCCCTAGGGGAAGGATTGAATACCGCCCCAGAAAGAGGCTGGCGTTGCAGGGGCGGCTCCCCCACTTTCTTCACGATTTGGGGCGCGGCCGCGGCAAACCCGGCCGAGTATGCGCCATCAGCTTACCTGAGTATTCGACGTTACATTACGTATCGCAATGTAACGTCGAATACTCAGGCAAGCTGATGCCGTAATGTAACGTCGAATACTCAGGTAAGCTGATGGCGCATACTCGGCCGGGTTTGCCGCGGCCGCGCCCCAAATCGTGAGAAGTGGGGGAGCTCGCGTTGGGCAGGGGCATTGGCGAATGTCAGTTTGTATACCGCTGAGCAGAAGAGAATGAAAAGTAACCAAAAAGTAGGCACGCAGTTTTGATCACCGCTTCTTGAGTTGATCAGGCAGACGTTCAATTCTCACAATTGCGTTCGGCTGGGCTTCGGCAAGCATAGCTATGTGGACAAAGCATTTTGCAAGGGCATGTAAATCAGTTTTGCCTTGGGCTAGCTGGTTTGCTGAAACAGCTACTTTCCGAAAGTGGAAGATCTATTATATAACCTCGTCAGTCTAGCAAGTCGTGGTATTTCCGTGAAAGCAACAGGGGAACAATTGTGGATCTAAAGAAGTTTCAAAATGTGGTAGGGCGAACGTGCACATCATTGCAGCGTCCAGGATTAAATCCTTATTTAATGTCATAAAAAGGTCATTGATGGGCTGTGCTTAGTGGCGTACACTTTGGTTGAGGGACGGAAAACCTGTTTCGCTGCGACGGGCAACTGTTCGAAGCAGAGGTCAACAGGAGGATTGGTGTACATAGTGGCGTGTTGGGATCGATTCGAATGTGCAGTTGTGTTTGAAAAGATTGATGGAGCGTTGGAGGGAATAGCGATATTGTTGCTTTGGAGTGTGCCGTACTCCCATCCAAGTGGACGAAGCCACGATGAACGTGAACTTAATGATTTATACCGTACCAATAAAGGAGGGCATTTGTTAGGTCATGCCGTCTACAGTAATCCCAATTTCTGCAAGGGGATTGAGTTTCGAGATAGGTGAGCTATTCCAGTTTCGCTTCTACACCCACACCGGAGCTTCCTCTTGCAAAACTTGAGGTTATTTTTGGTGGTACGAATTATGGTTACGAGTGACCATCCCTTTATCAGTACTGCGCCTAGTGAAAGTGAGCACAGAATGATCTCCTGTTTTCAGCAAGGACCCCGCCGAAATTCCATGGGGAGCTGATGGAGCTGAATACATTGTAGAGTCGACTGGTGTCTTCACCACTGTTGATAAGGCATCGGCTCACTTGAAGGGAGGCGCCAAGAAGGTATTTATTTATCCGAGAGTGTGGGCCAGAGCTTCCCTTGCCGTTTTTTGAGAACTGAAGTTAATTTCTCCAGGTTGTCATCTCCGCACCATCAGCAGATGCCCCGATGTTTGTTATGGGTGTAAACAACGAGACCTACAACGCTGCCAACAACCACATTATCAGGTAAATTATAGGCTGCTTGATATTTTGATTGATATCGATGAATTCTTTTGAAACTGTGAACCCTTTCAGTAACGCTTCATGTACCACCAACTGCCTCGCTCCTCTGGCTAAGGTCATTCATGACAACTTCGGAATCATCGAAGGGTTGATGACCACTGTGCACGCAACTACTGCCACACAGAAGACTGTCGATGGACCATCCGGAAAGCTGTGGCGTGATGGACGTGGTGCAGCTCAGAATATCATTCCAGCCGCTACCGGCGCAGCTAAAGCTGTCGGTAAGGTTATCCCTTCACTGAACGGCAAGCTCACCGGTATGGCCTTCCGTGTACCTACCCCTGACGTGTCTGTTGTCGATCTCACTTGCCGTCTTGAGAAACCAGCAAGCATGGACGACATTAAGAAGGTAAGGGGCTTTCAAATATGTATTACATTCTGGCATATGGTCGACTGGTAGTCGAGGTACTTGCACAAAACTAGTGGGTCATTTAGGTCATCAAGTCTGCTTCGGAAGGTGCGATGAAGGGCATCTTGGGTTATACTGAAGACCAAGTTGTGTCGACTGACTTCTTGTCTGACACACGCTCATCCATTTTCGACGCGGGAGCGTGCATCTCTCTTAACCCGAACTTTGTCAAGCTCATTTCATGGTCAGTTAGCTTTCAGCTTGTTGGAGTTTACATTAAGAATTTGTTTACATCTCGTCTTAATCACCACTCTTTAACAATTTGTTCAGGTATGACAACGAGTACGGATACTCGCACCGTGTCGTCGATCTGCTTACCTACATTGCCAGCAAGGCCTAAAATGTTTGCCGTGTTTGCTGGTTTGCGCTCTCAATCAAAGTTGTGGTTCCCTAATGTTTCATAGAGTTAGTCACCACTATGAGCGTACATTTTTTCTGTAGTCGTGTAGGTTTCCTTTTTT